TTTGCGACCGGTCGCATGAAGCACGAGCGACCGGTCGCCTGACATTTGCGACCGGTCGCTTAGAAGCAGATTCAAAGTCTGGAGGGAAAACTTCTGGCGACCGGTCACCCATTCCTGACGACCGGTCGCTCCGGTCGTGCTGTGATGTTTTGATTACGTATTTTCAACTGTCTTTTCAATGGCTATCGCTTTCCATAAGTTTGCAGGTGCTTAATGGATCACTTCTGAGGTAAAAGAGGGTTGACTACAGAAGCAGATTCAAAGTCTGGAGGGAAAAATTCTGGTGACCGGTCGCCCATTCCTGACGACCGGTCGCTCCAGTCGTGCTGTGATGTTTTGCTTACGTATTTTCAACAGTCTTTTCAATGGCTATCGCTTTCCACAAGTTTGCAGGTGCTTAATGGGTCACTTCTGAGGTAAATGAAGGTTGACTACTTGCTGGATAGTTGGGAGAGCACTCATGGCTAATTGGTTATCTTGTTTTGAATAATTTCCTCTCCATTTTCTGGTTTAATGGAGGTGGCTAAGTGGGATTGTATTACCTACCTTATCTGACCCTTAGTCTAAGTGGTGACTAAAAGGACAGAACGTGGAGGACAATCAGATATCCTATCTCTTGTCCATTGGCCTGTGTAGGTAATGGGATGAAGTAAGATAACACAAGGGAGAAAGCATGTTGAACATATGTAGTGGCAAAAGCTGGAAACTAGTGTGAGTTTTCTAGAGAGAGAGTTTCAGAAAAGCCAAGGAGAGAGCAAGAGAGTTCTCTAAGTGTATCAAGGTGTTGAGCAAGGGTGTGAGAGAAACAGATTGTGAGGGTAGTGTTCTAAGGGGGTTTCCTTTGTAAACCAAAGTTGTAACCTATCTTCATTAGTGAAATTTCTCAAGGTGATCACCAAAGAGGATGTAGGCAATTTGCTGAACCTCTATAAACACTTGTGTCATTTGTGCTTGGTTAATTTCTGTGTGTGTGTGTAAGACTCATCCATCATTGAGTTCTTTGTCTAAAGTCCATCAACAACAAGATCTTAAAAGGGCAGTGAGTTAGTTATTAATTCACAACAATATATGCCTTCATGTGCAGCTTCTTCTGTGCTCAAGTAGATGATGCGACGGAGGGGATTAATTAAGGAATCAAGGAAGCACATCAAACTACATGTGTGTGAACATTAGAATATCTTATAAGAAATCATGACACTGTGTGTGTTCTTACTTTAATATATACAAAAAAGGATTTTTGAAGCTTTTGACTAAAAGGCATAGAAGATGTAGCATACCCCACGACCATTGTCAGCGATGCTCACAGAACCATCTGCAAGTAAAACAACCTCGATCTTTGAAGCAAATCCGGCTTGAGCCTCATCCACAGCATTATCTAATATTTCATAGACCTAAAAGAGCATGATTAGAAACTTCTTTATTGACTCAGATGAATCTAGCAAAAGCACATTATTAAAAATGGAAAGATAAAAGTGACGAAAAGCAATACCAAACGGTGAAGACCACGAGGTCCTGTGCTCCCAATATATATCCCTGGCCTCTTTATAACAGGGTCTAAGCCTTCCAATACCTGAACATGTTAGACATTATAGCATCAAGCCAAAGCTAAGTCGGAGTGACAGCTTAGAAGTCCCACTCAACAATTTCTAACTAAACCCATCAATAAGCAACAATTTCCAGCAAACATAAACACCTTAATAAACTTACTTATCTGAATCTGATCAGACCCATATGCATTGGAGCCAGAGCTGCCCTGAAAAGCCTCGGTTGCAGGGGTAGACGACATAAAAGCTCTTCGAGCAACCGCATTTCGAACTACACAGCAGCTAGGAATGCCCTTCATAGTGGAATATGGGTCCTGTCACAACCAATAACAAAACCCTTAAACACTTTCCTCTTTCCCAGGAAAAACCCGAGTGGCAAAATACAAAAACTAATATCTTATCACCAAAAATAACAAATGAACAAATAAAATCACTCAAATTCAAACAAAGAAAAAGTTATGTTGTAACAGGAATACTGATAGAGTCGCCTTAATTCCCTAGTTGCCGCATTTTCTAGGAAACCAAACAGAAAATAAGCAGAAATGAGGGGCAAAATATGAAAGGGAAAAGCACCTGGGTTGTGGGTTGAACAAGAGGGAGGGACGAGCAAGAGAGGAAGACGAGAAAGAAGAAGAAGAGGAGGGGAAGTGAGGGTGAAGAGAAGAGTGTGATAGAAAGCGTAAGGCCATGAAGCGAAGATATGTTGGAGAAGGAGGCCTCAGAAGAAGAAGCGCCATAGGATTTTTGCTAAAATATGAATATGGGTTTGAATATGTTAGGTTCTTATTTTCTTTTTCTCCATAATGAGGTATATATAAGAGTTTACATGAGTGCTTTACAAGGAATTAGGTCTAGTAAAGGATTAGGAAAGTATCTCCTAATTATACAATGATTTGACAACTATATAAAATAGGAAAGTAAATCCCTTAATTAATCAAGGAAATAAATCTCCTTGATTAATTAGGAGACTCACTTCAACACTCATCCTCAAGTTGGTGCATATACGTCACAAATGCCCAACTTGGTAAGTGAGTCATGAAATTCTCTGCCACAAACAGCTTTAAGATATCTGCCAGTTGATCTTCTAATTTTATGAATGGTAGGCGGATGATCTTCTTCTCAATTTTTTCTTTGATAAAATGTCTATCCACCTCAACATGTTTGGTTCGATCATGTTGAACTGGATTATGGGCAATATCAATGGCTGACTTGTTATCACAATGTAACTCCGTTGGCTTTTCTGGCTTGAAACCCAATTCTGTCAAGAGTCTTCTGATTCACAATAATTCACAACCTCTTTGAGTCATTCCTCTATACTCTGCTTCTGCATTAGACCGAGAAACCAAATTTTATTTTTTACTCCGCCAAGTGACTAGGTTACCTCCCACAAATGTAAAGTAACCAAAAGTAGAGCGTCTATATATAATGGACCCAGCCCAATCAGCATATGTATATCCGAAAAACTTCAAGATCTTCATGTTTTGAGAACATTAAAACCTTTCCAAGGGCTGACTTTAAGTATCTTAAGATTCGATCAACAGCATTCATATGAGAAACACTGGGTGAATGCATAAACTGACTAACCACACTCACAACATATGCACTATCTGGTCTTGTGTGTGCCAGGTATATCAACCTTCCAACAAGGCGTTTGATACTGTTCCTTATTGGTTGGTTCTTGGTCCATGTCTTCACAGAACTTGTGATTCATCTCAATGGGTGGTGTGGTACTGGAGCTGAAGCGGGCAAAATCTCATAAGACGTTTCAATTTCCACCTCCTGATTTTGACAACGTGGAGAAAACTGATCTTTTTCCTCTGGTGACCGGTCGCTGGATTTTGGCGACCGGTCGGTTTGAAACAGCTTCTCTGACTACCAGTCGCTTTCCACTGGCGACTGGTAGTTTTGAAGCAGATTCTCCTTGTTCGAAGAACTAAGGGGGGGTCGGTCGCTTTCCACTGGCTACCGACAGTTTGATTTAGGAATTTGATTTGAGGAATTTGATGTATGAATTAGATTTGAGAGGTATGTGTATAAGATTTGAGGGTATGTGTTTAGGGATTTTAATAAGAGGATATTAGGATTTGGATATGAAGATCTGAATCTGAATATGTAAATATGAGAAATTGGATTTAGGGTTTGTGTTTGAGGAAATTTGATATGAGGATTTGAGAACTTTAGATTTGAGGGATTTGGATTTGGGGAAAAATATGAGGAATTTGATTTAGGGTTTTGAATTTGAATAAGAGAAATTTGAGATAAGGCATTTGAGGACTTTATATTTGAGGGATTTGGAACAAATCCTTTTTCACTCCCCCTCCCCCCCTTGAAGAGGAGGGGAGGAGAAATTTTGATATGAGGAGTTTAAAGAACACAGAAACTCTGTGAACACGGCTTAAGAACATATAAACTTCTCTTCAATCCTCTTCTCCCCTTGAAGAGAAGGGTATGTCGGAATCAAGAAAGAGGCAAAATCTCCATGAGAAAGAGAAACAGATCTTTTTTCACTCCCCCTCCCCCCCTTGAAGAGGAGGGGAGGAGAAATTTTGATATGAGAATTTAGAGACAATCGAGGATCGATTGCTTTGATACCATGCTAAAATATGAATATGGGTTTGAATATGTTAGGTTCTTATTTTATTCTTCTTCATAATGAGGTATATATAAGAGTTTACATGAGTGCTTTACAAGGAATTAGATCTAGTAAAGGATTAGGAAAGTATCTCCTAATTATACAATGATTTGACAACTATATAAAATAGGAAAGTAAATCCCTTAATTAATCAAGGAAATAAATCTCCTTGATTAATTAGGACACTCACTTCAACAATTTCGTTCTTTTTGTTTTACTTTCTTTGTCTTTTAGACCTTCTTCTTTTAAAAATAAAAAATAAAAAATTGTAAATTCTGTTTGAGTAAAGCGATAAACCCTTTTCGCCATAACAGAAACCTTGTTTCCCTCCTCTCCCTCCTAAAGCCCTACCCCTCTCGCCATATTAAAAACAAAAAACAAAATTTTAATTATTTCTAAACTAGAAAATATGGAAAAACTTATAGGTGTCATGTCTTTTGAATTGCATAAGGACTAACTTTAAAAATTATAAGGACTAAAAATCTTCATTTTCTTAACTTTAGTTACTAGGTGTCACATCTTTTGTTTTTTGCGCAGTGAGTGTTATTGAGTGTATTTGGCGATTCAGGTTGTGAGGTTCCCATAACTTTGTAAACATCTCAATTTGTTAATAGAGTATGTGTTTGCACATGCTGCTGTAGGTAGGGACATACCCAGTTAGTTATACTTGTTATGAGGAACCTCGCTAAATCTTTTATTTTTTTGTTTTTACATTTATTTTCTGTTATTATCCTTGGGTTAGCAACATCTGCTCCAGTAGAAATTTATCGATTTCGAAATGTATTGAAGCAATTATTTCCTTAAGGCTTGATGCTTCTAGCACAACACATACACGTATAAATGCATATTACAACCAACTTAGAAATTTGTAAAGGACAATACTAAACATTGCTTTATTTGCTTGCATACATATATGCCTTCACATTTGCAGCTTGTTTTGTGCTCTATGATCTTTTCTGCAGATAAGTACCAATGGCTAAGACAAAATAAAGGACAGCATCTTTCACTTTGTCAAGGAAGTGAAAATACGCATATCTCCAAGACCTCTTCATGGCCAAAGTCCCAAAAACTCCCCAGAACCCTGCACAAAAACCTATCACCATGCCGATGACGAACTGTAGCTTTTCACGTTTGCTGTCATCATCCTCTCCTCCATCTCCACTTAGAACTTGAGGTGCTCCTTCATTGTATTGGCAACCAGTTGGTAATGGACAACCGCTAAGACCGGGGTTGCCCTCATAAATTGACGGGTCAATAAAGGTCTGAAACTGCTTACCTGTTGGAATTTTCCCGGAAAAGTTATTGTATGACAGATTCAAATGATTCAAAAATGTTAAAGAAACCATGCTCTGTGGAATTGAACCTGAAAGTTTGTTCATTGATAGATCAAGAGTTTCTATCAACTCCAAGTTTCCAATATTTGTTGGGATATTTCCTGTCAAATGATTCATGGACAAATTTAAGGTGTCCAACTTTATAAGGCTTGTTAGCCCCATAGGTATCTCTCCTGACAATTTATTGTCCGATAGATCAATGCTTGTAACAAGGTAAAGGATGGAGAAATAATCATATACAAACTCTCTTCCTTTTGACACTAACTCAAATCTTCCCTCGTAACCATAGTTAACTTCATCAGTGGACTCAGATTTCAAGTAACTCAAATTACCTATGCAGTGGGGAATATTTCCGGAAAGATTGTTGTGTGAGAAGTCCAATATATGGAGAGCGGAAAGGCCACATAATTTTAAAGGAATGCTTCCCGTAAATGAGTTGGACCTCAAGCTTAGAATATGTAAATTGGGCATGCTTTCTCCAATGGAAGCCAGAATCGGTCCAGAAAACTTGTTATCACCAAGATCAAGAATATTCATGTTAGTGCAGTTTTTCAAGGAAGGAAATTCACCTGAAAAGTTGTTGCTAGAGAGGCCCAATAATTGGAGTGAAGTAAGAGAGCATAAAGATCTTGGGATTGTACCAGAGAGACTGTTGTTTGACAAGTCTATAGAAATCAATAATGGCATATTGTTCCAAAAATGAGGAATCTCACCAGAGAGATTGTTGTTTGACAAGTCGATCATTTGCAATGATGGCATATTGTTCCAAAAATGAGGAATCTCACCAGACAAGAGGTTATTTGAGATCAATATGACTTGTAATTGGCTTAAAGTACCCAAGAACAGGGGAATGCTTCCACTCAAAGAGTTCGTAGAAATGTCTAGATATTGCAAATTGGGCATCACTTGACCAATGTTATGAGGAATTGGCCCTGAAAATTGATTATCTCTAAGATACAGGTAGGAAATGTTTGAGGACCAAAGTGGGAGTAGGCCTTCAAAGCGATTTGAAGTCAAATCAATAGTGGAAGCATGATTGAATCTTAATGAATTGGGCACCCTGCCGCTTAGTTGATTATCAGCGACATCTAGAATATCAAATTGCAAATCCAACTGCCAAAACCAATCTGGTATGGTGCCTGAAATCCTAGCATTATGGAGTACCACCGTGGTCAACTCAGTCTGATTTCTAAGCCATGTAGGAAATTTGGGACCCAGTTGGCATGATATAATTTCCAAGTATCTTAATTTGAAAGGAGGTATCCAATCAGAACTTATGTTGAAAACCAAGGAAATGTTTGGGGGATCATTTCCAATTGATACTTCTCTCAGGCCTCCAAGTTTCACGAAATGAGCTTCTGTAATGGCACCTTCCCATGTGTTTCTAGAGATATCTAGTGAAACCATCGATGAGAGCTCCCAAAGACTTTCTGGGATGATCCCACTCATTTGATTCCCTCTGAGGTAAAACTCCTCCAAAGATGTCAAGTTTCCAATCGATTTTGGGATTGAACCCTGAAATGAGTTATACAACAAGTGGAGGTATCTCAAGCTTTTAAGATATCCCAAAGAATCAGGCAGTTTTCCTGTCATGAGACTGTTATATGACAAATCCAACATCTCTAGTTTAGTGAGATTGAACAACCAAGGAGGTATCGTGGTGGTGAATTCATTGCCAGAGAGATCAAGAACTGAAAGGGATGTGAAATTGATGGAAGGAAGAGTGAGAGGAAGCATGGGAAGACTACAAGATTGCAAATGCAATTCAACTAGTGAAGGGAGCATATTAACAGTGGGAAGCCAATAGGATGTAGCCTTGGTAAGGTTCACTCCTCCCAAGTTAAGGTACTTTAAGGAAGAAAGAGTTGCAAGCCATTGAAGGTCAGTTTCAAGATTTTCATCAACCTTAATATTGGGGGGAATGTGATTACCAAGATCAAGATAAAGCAACCTTGAGAGGTTTCCAAGATTGGGGGGAATGACTCCAACAAAATCTAAACCAGAGAGATTGAGGTATTTCAGTTTCTCTAGTGATCCAATGAAACTTGGAAATTGGACACCTCCAAAGTTATTGATTATGCTCAAATCCAAGTATTCCAAATCTTTCAAAACAAGCAAAGAAGGGTTGATCTCACCATCAAATGCATTCTCTTCGTACCCATCACGATTGCCAAGATCGAGCCTATTGACACGTCCAGTTATGTTGTTGCAGCCTACACCACTCCATTTGCAGCAATCTTCTCCCACCCAAGACGAAAGCTGTCCGGAAGGATCCATGAGGCCTTGTTTGAGCTTGAGAAGGGCTTTCCTCTCTATATCTATGCATCTCACATTATGATCATCATTGCAGAAACCGAGTTTAATGGTTTCAAGGGATAAAATTCCTGACAGTATAAGTAGTGAGACAAGTTGGATGGAAGCACTAGCACTGTTGTGACCCATGATTCTTATGCAATGGGATGATCTGTAGGACTAAATATATGAGTCTGCAAGATTAAAGAGTACAAAGATGCCCTCTATATAGGAGTAAATGAGAATTCAGATGGTTGAGCTTATGTACGTGTCGTCGTGGGTATCAAGAACGAAAAATTTCCATAAAGTCTCTGATAAATGACTTCCAAGTCTTTGATCAATAAATGTTAGTTTTGTGATATTGTTGCAGTGAAACGAATACCATTTACGGCCACACAAGTATTTTCCTTTCATAATTGCGCGCAACTACTCAACCACGATATCTTTTGATATCACAAACAATTAATATGGCAACCACTCTTTTTTCTCTTTCTCTTTCTTTCTTTGTTCCCACCATTCCAGCAGCCAGTCAAACCTTCTCTTACAGAGATGCCCTGTATAGAGGAGTAAATGAGAATTCAGATGGTTGTTCGAAATTATGTGCCGTCGCGGACACACTAACAAGAACCAAAATTTTCCATAATCAGGTCCCCACCTACACAAATTGTGCGAACTTTAAACGACTTCTTTCCAAATCTGATAAAGAAAAAAAAAAGAGTTCTAAAGTCAATGATACACGACGATCATGCATGCAAAGACTTCCAAGTCAATTTGAGTAAGTTGTGGGGTAAATAGTTCAATCCCACATCAGCACGTCAAGCCAAATAATGACTTCGAAGCAATTTCAGTAACTACTAGACGTTGTCAGATAATATCACAATCTACCACATGCACTAATCTCTCTCTCTCTCTCTCTCTCTCTCCACACATGAAATCCTGGCTTCTCCACTGTTTGTGGCCCTTGATATAGTCCATTGTACACCACTTAAAACATAAGAATGTCACCGACTGATCTGACTAGATATTTGCTACAGCAAGTAAATGAATTCATATAAAATACTTCCCCTTTTGTTTGTGATGACGGTATTATTACTTGGAACGATGAGGAAGAATATTTCGTACAAGGGTTGGATAGCAAATCCTTGTGAGGCAGCTTATCTCTTGGAAATTGTATCAAGACTGGGAAAAGGAAAGCATGAGTAACTCTAGCCTTTGTCTGCACAAAACCTTCTGGTCATCAACCCAGAAACCCATTTTTGGAAAAGGCTATGTATCCTAATTTCCTAAAAGCTGTATTGATTTAAAGTCATCTTCCTTACCAATATATATTTGTGTTATATAGAGTTTTATCATGTCTGCAGTTTCCTTGAAAGAAGCATCTAACAAGCCACATCTCTTTCATATGCCTTTCATGCCACCCCCGTATTATAAAACATGCCATACACCAATCTACCAACCCACTGTCTACCACTATCTTGCCTTTATGTTTGTTAAGCTTTGTATTGTCTCTTAGTTTATTATTATCAATCCGGTATAAATACCTTCTCTTATGGAGATGAATAATCAAGCAAAATATCATGGAATCATCAAATCCGGTATAAATACATCTGATTCTCACGTTGGTTTGTTTTGGGAGAAGATGAATAGACTTGAGAAGTGAACAAGGTTCTTTGCTGTGGAACAGACAAAGAAGAAGAAACCAATCTGTAAAGATTGATAGTTGGTGTTTTTGGTTTGTTGCGCACTGCCTCATTCTTTAGGAATGATTTTTCTTATTTATTTATTATTTCATAAAATAATATTTTATTACTTTTGTAAAAACTAGAGAATGACGATTCAAACTAGTCTTTGTTTTTTTCTTTTTTTTTTGGTCGAAATCAAACTAGTCTTTCTTATCTTTCTTTTTATAACCCTAAACCCTAAATGCACGGTGGAATGACTAGAAGAAGTCCATCACTAGGAAATTTCCTTGCGTTAGGATGCTTATTTCTTGGTTTGAATGCACAGTGTTTGGGTCTTCTAGTCCCACTTGGGAGAAAAGGACCACTGTGCTACGATTTTATTTTATTTTTTATTTTTTATTTTTTATTTTTGGTAAAGATGAACTTTCATTAATAAAGACCAAAGAGAGGTCATAGAACCACCGAGACTACACAACATGAAAGTTTATTTATGAAAAATAATCCTTTGGGCCTCTAGAATATGAAAAATAATCAAGGGTTTGCATACCAATCAATTAATGAAAGTTTATCAAGTTATATATGCAATGATATTTATTACATACTAATAAAAGTCTAATCTTTACTTTTATTTGCTCAGATTGGTGTATCATTATAAGAAGATTGAAGCATATTTTATTTACTCAAGAGTATCTAGGTAACTACACATCACTAAAATTTGGGACTTTCTTTTTTTGCAAGTATGAATTTATCCTAATGGCCTTTTCTCATGTGCTTATTTGGCTCTATCATTGTTGTTTGATATAAAGTTGTGAAAATTATTTGTAATATATGATATAGTAGTAAAAGAAGTTTCTCTTACATGTATGATGTAGTAAAATGAAGGATTCACAACAAGGAAAGGACAAAGGAAAATGCAAAAGTTCCGATAATTATGAACTTTGGACCAAGGAAGAAAGCGATTTCTTGTTAGAGCTATTGGTTGATGGTATTAGTCGAGGATGGCGTGATAGTAATGGGTCAGCTATGTGGAGAGATGCTATCTAGGTCATATGAGGAGATGAAGCTCCAACAAATGTTTATTACGTCTTGAATAACTTTTGTTTTCCTTAAGCCATGTCTAGTTGCTACATGACGTTATTGTTATTACTTTTATCATTTGGTTATTTATCCTTGTGGCATAATTAATCCATGTTATTATATAATTTTTATTTCATATGAAATCTTAGAGCAAATCTTTCGATCCTTTGGAGATCGAGCCTGTTGACACGTCCAGTTATGTTGTTGCAGCCTACACCACTCCATTTGCAGCAATCTTCTCCCACCCAAGACGAAAGTTGTCCAGAAGGATCCGTGAGGCCTTGTTTGAGCTTGAGAAGGGCTTTCCTCTCTATATCTATGCATCTCACATTATGATCATCACTGCAAAAACCGAGTTTAATGGTTTCAAGGGATAAAATTCCTTACAGTATAATTAGTGAGACAAGGTGGATGGAAGCAATAGCACTGCTGTGACCCATGATTCTTATGCAATGGGATGATCTGTAGGACTAAATATATGAGTCTGCAAGATTAAAGAGTACAGAGATGCCCTCTATATAGGAGTAAATGAGAATTCAGATGGTTGAGCTTTTGTACGCGTCGTCGCGGACACGCTATCAAGAACGAAAAATTTCCATAAAGTCTCTGATAAACGACTTCCAAGTCTTTGATCAATAAATGTTAGTTTTGTGATATTGTTGCAATGAAACGAATACCATTTACGGCCACACAAGTATTTTCCTTTCATAATTGCGTGCAACTACTCAACCACGATATCTTTTGATATCACAAACAATTAATATGGCAACCACTCTTTTTTCTCTTTCTCTTTCTTTCTTCGTTCCCACCATTCCAGTAGCCAGTCAAACCTTCTCTTAATGAGCTGGCCAAATTTTAATTCTGCATGCATAGACACAAGATTAAAGAGTACAGAGATGCCCTGTATATTGGAGTAAATGACAATTCAGATGGTTGAGCTTTTGTACGCGTCGTCGCGGACACGCTATCAAGAACGAAAATTTTCCATAAAGTCTCTGATAAACGACTTCCTATTGTTGTAATGAAACGAATACCATTTACGGCCACACAAGTATTTTCCTTTCATAATTGCGCGCAACTACTCAACCACGATATCTTTTGATATCACAAACAATTAATATGGCAACCACTCTTTTTTCTCTTTCTCTTTCTTTCTTTGTTCCCACCATTCCAGCAGCCAGTCAAACCTTCTCTTACAGAGATGCCCTGTATAGAGGAGTAAATGAGAATTCAAATGGTTGTTCGAAATCATGTGCCGTCGCAGACACACTAACAAGAACTAAAATTTTCCATAATCAGGTCCCCACCTACACAAATTGTGCGAACTTTAAACGACTTTTTTCCAAGTCTGATAAAGAAAAAAAAAAAAGTTCTAAATTACAATGATACACAACGATCATGAACTGAAAGGGATGTGAAATTGATGATCAATTTGAGTAAGTTGTGGGGTAAATAGTTCAATCCCACATCAGCACGTCAAGCCAGATAATGACTTCGAAGCAATTTCAGTAACTACTAGACGTTGTCAGATAATATCACAATCTACCACATGCACTAATCTCTACCACCCTTCTCTCTCTCTCTCCCCAACAACCCACCACCCTATCAACCTCCACACCCAGCCATTTTCCCCAAACCAAAATATGGAGAACCTGGATGAGTCCATGGACGGAGTCACAATATTAGACTTAGATTGTTAAGTTGGGAATAATATATATTAGTACTGGACTATATTATTTGTGGCCCTTGATATAGTCCATTGTACACCACTTAAAACATAAGAATGTCACCGACTGATCTGACTAGATATTTGCTACAGCAAGTAAATGAATTCATATAAAATACTTCAAATTTTGTTTGTGATGACGGTATTATTACTTGGAACGATGAGGAAGAATATTTCGCACAAGGGTTGGATAGCAAATCCTTGTGAGGCAGCTTATCTCTTGGAAATTGTATCAAGACTGGGAACAAAAGGAAAGAATGAGTAACTCTAGCCTTTGTCTGCACAAAACCTTCTGGTCATCAACCCAGAAACCCATTTTTGGAAGAGGCTATGTATCCTAATTTCCTAAAAGCTGTATTGATTTAAAGTCATCTTCCTTACCAATATATATTTGTGTTATATAGAGTTTTATCATGTCTGCAGTTTCCTTGAAAGAAGCATCTAACAAGCCACATCTCTTTCATATGCCTTTCATGCCACCCCCGTATTATAAAACATGCCATACACCAATCTACCAACCCACTGTCTACCACTATCTTGCCTTTATGTTTGTTAAGCTTTGTATTGTCTCTTAGTTTATTATTATCAATCCAGAATAAATACCTTCTCTTATGGAGATGAATAATCAAGCAAAATATCATTGAATCATCAAATCTTTTACCTCGGTGGTATATTTCGCGGAAATATTAGTACTA